CCACACCTCACTTCCCTCAGTCCTTTATTCTCAAGCTGAGGTGTCTGCTGAGAAAAACTGCTCCGCGTCTCCCTGGTCTGCTGGGAGGAGGGGGGGCGCTAGCTTTGCGTCTCCCTGGTCTGCTGGGGGGAGCGCTAGCTTCGCGTCTCCCTGGTCTGCTGGGGGGAGCGCTAGCTTCGCGTCTCCCTGGTCTGCTGGGGGGAGCGCTAGCTTCGCGTCTCCCTGGTCTGCTGGGGGGAAGCAGCTAGTGCGGGGGTGACTGAAGCATGGATTGTTGTGCCTTACTATAAAGAAGAACAGTGTTTGCTCACTAATTCCTATTTGTTCCAGATCATGTATTCCACTTTATTATTTCACAACACATTTGTAGGATGAGAAGCAGTGAGATCAATAAGCTTTTTTTGATGACATAAGAGGCTTTATTTATAAAAATGCATTGTTCTAACAGTCATCCATTGTCAGACAGGCCAGCTACCACTGTAACACATTAGGAACAAAAATAATGTTTCAGGGTAGAAAAAAGCACATGAACAAGTGCAAACACGGCAAAACCAAACAAACAAACCTCCTACCACATTATGTCCCCAGATATCCTGTTCTCTTTTCTCCTCTTGCCCCATTTTCTGTACACTTGGCATTGGAGGATGGGGTGGAGGTAACCATGGGAGATGGGATCAAGACAGAGAGCTACACAGAGTTTTAATTGCCCTGACCAGCTCCTTATAGAACTCAATTGCATGAGCCTCACAGACATGAAATTTTCCAAGCTGTTTTGGAGTGAGTAATTCACAGGAGAATTGGGCCAGGGTGTGGGAGCAGGATCCAGTAATCTTGCAGACATGATTGAGATGAGACTCTCAAATTGTTTCTTTGTGTGGACTTCTTTCCTTACCTGGTCCAGAACCTGCATAGATGACACTTGCTCCTGGACTGAAACCTTATTTCGAGTTTTGCCCTACTGTGTAGACATGCCTATATAGAGATCCCTACTGTAAGCAGGACAAGGAAAACCTCTGAGAATTCAAAGTGGCAGATCAGAATTTTAACACATCTCTAAATCTAATTCATTTTTGGCTCAATATGCACCAACAGTATCAAAACAAATTAAGAATCTGAATGTGAATGAAACAGACTTGAGGCTTGTCTTCATATACAGCATGACAGCCACACTACGTGATTTTGTGATGATGCTGTTATTGTTAATCCACCTCCCTAAGAGATGGCAGCAGTGCAGGTAAGAGACAATATGGAGATTTAGATTGGTACAACTACATTCCTCAGGGGTCCACATTTTTCATACCTCTGACTGGCATAGTCCCCCTTTACAACTCCTTACTATTATCCATATCAGACTGATTTCCCCATGGGTAAGCGGTGGCTACCTCACCCCGCAAACCTGAGCCCAAAACCTGTATTCTTGTGCTTCAGGACTGCACAATTGGTGTTCATGTTTAGTTGTCTTGCAGATCCACATGCTCACAGTCAATAAAGCTGAGAGGAGTTCATCAGAAACTTTTTGAAAGTAGAGTTGGAATCAAAGTTTCATTTTCTACTACTAAATTAACTGAACTTCTGCATGTCACTGTTGCCAGCACTAATAAAAAAAACTTGACTATGTAAAATTATCATTAGGGTATAAATGAGTATGAAATAGATCCCATTGTTTGGCCCTTCAAAAAGTTGGGTTCCAGCCTTTTTAAGTATCTTTAAGGCTGTGCCTGTCCTGCTGTTCAGAGACATCACATCTCTTTAACTCAGAGTCAGCTTACAAAGAGCAACAATAACACTTAGAGAAAAATAGCTATGGCAATAACATACCTGCTGGGATCCTTGGTATATACAGCACTGAAATAGCAGAGAGCACAAAACTTTCGAAGAACATGAAGTTCTGGTGCCACCTACTGACAAACCATTCAAAATGTGTCCTGATAACTCATGGAAATCGGTCAGTCAATTTGAGTTTTAGGGTATGTCTACATAATAGGGCAAAAGTAGAATTACATTACACAACTTCAGCTACGTCAACTGCGTAGCTGAAGTTGAAATATCTTAACTCAGCTTTTGGTGCTGTCTACACAGAATACTCTTCCTTCAACTTCTTTTACTCCTCATGAAATGAGGGCTACAGGAATCGGAGTAAGAAGTGTTCCATCTTGACATTATTTCAAAATAATGGCTTGCTGTGTAGATGTGCATTTTGTTATTTCAAAATAACATCCGTTGTTCTGAAATAACGCTGCTGTATAGATGTACCCTTAGAAAGCAATTTTAGGTATATTTTGTATCATTTGGTTTGGAAATCTCCCACCCATATACTGTTAGGCCTGAAATCAGATGAGATAACCAAATGTAATATTTTTACCACCATTTTCATTTAATATCCTTGAGCCATCATAGTTTAAAGAATAAAACCCACTCATGATAAAAGGAAAAGGAAAATATAAACAAAAACATGGCAAATCCTGCCTGAAGCTGCTTCACTTTATTCCCTGTGTTTCATTTAAGAGTTGGAATAACAGATTCATAGAAATACAGGTCTGGAAGAAACCTCAACAGGACATCAATTCCTAGGGTGACCAGATGTCCTAATTTTATAGAGACAGTCCCAATATTTGGTGTTTTATCTTATATAGCACTTAGTCCCACCACCACCACTTCCTGTCCCAGTTTTCCACACTTGCTATCTGGTCACATTATCAGTTCCTCGTGGTGCTGAGGTAGAACCAAGTAAACTCAAACCATCCCTGAGAGGTGTTTGTCCAAGCTGTTCTTAAAAACCTCCAGGGATGGGGATACCAGAACCTCCCTTGGAAATCTATTTCAGGACTTAATTACGCAAAGGCCATGTGGACACAACGTGCAAGATCGATGCTGCTGCAATTGAACTTCCGGGGTTTGATTTAGTAGATCTAGTAAAGGCCTGCTAAATTGAACTCATAGGGCACCCCTGTTGGTGCTGGTACTCCGGCTCCTCACGAGGAGTAAGGGAAGCCAATGGGAATGTTTGCTCTTGTCAACCTCCCACTGTGTGTGGATGGCGATTTAAAGTACATCGACTCCAGCTATACAAGTACCATATCTGGAGTTACGTATCTTAAGTCAACTTTTTGCTGTAGTGTAGACCACGCCTAACAGTTAGAAAGTTTCTCCTAATATATAACCTAAATCTAGCTTGATGCAGATGAAGCCCATTACTTCTTGCCATATCTTCATGGATGTGGAAAACAATGATCATATCTGAGACTGTTCCAAAGTCTCACCTAAGGTGTCTTTTCTCAAGACTACAAAGGTCAAGGTTTTTTAACCTTACCTCATAGGTCAGGTTTTCTAAATCTTTTATCATTTTGTTTGTTCTCCTCTGGAATCTTTCCAATTTACCCACATCTTTTTTGAAGTGTGGCACCCAAAATCGGACATAGTACTTCAGTTGAGCTCTCCCCACTGCCGTGTAGAGTACAGCAATTACCTCCCATGTCTTATATATAACACAAATCAATACTCACCAGAATTATACTTTTTTTTAACTGCATCATATTGTTAACTGACATTCAATTTGTGATCCCTTATATCTCCCAGATCTCTCTCAGCAGGATTACCACATAGCCCATTATTTCACATTTTTAGTTGTTTAATTTTTCCCAAAGTATAGCACTTTACACTTCTCTTTAATGAATTTCATTTTGTTAATTTCAGACACATTCTCCAGTTTGTTATTAATTTTTATTCTAATCTTGTCCTCCAAGGTGCTTGAAGTGCTTCTCATGTTGGTGTCACTTGCACATTTTATAAACAGTCTCCACTATGTTATCCAAGTCATTAAAGAAAATTGTGACTAGTGCCAGGCCAACGACAGATTCCAATTAGACCCTAATGGATACGTCCCCATAATTTGAAGCAAACCATTAATTAACTCCAAGTATGGTCTTTCACCTGTTGGTGTGCCCACATTATAGTAATTTCTGTAATATGTTTACATGAATGTCATGTGGGCCCACATCAAAAGTCTTATTGAAATCAAGATACATCGGGTCCACTGCTCCTCCTCCTCCCCACTTCTCCAGTCATGCAGCCAATATCCCATCAAAGAAGGATGGGAAGGTTTGGTCAGTTTGGCATGATTTATTGTCCACCTAGACAGAAAGGACAGGTGATACCTGATATGGATTTAATCAGGCTTTGATACTGATTTTATTATTAGATGTCTGGAATTTCCTGGCAGATTAAAAAAAAAGTATATAGTGTAGGTAATGCCATGATCATTCTAATAACTGCTCAGGGCTTCCACCTGCCCTTCCTCCACTTTATTTTCCACCCAGCTCCCCCACACAACCCATGACTTGGCCCTTAATCACCCACTTCCTCTCAAATGAGGCTTAAGCTGGGTTATAAGAAGCTGGGGTGGGGAATGGCTCCCTGCCATAGCAGTCATAGGAGCCCTGAAACCTTCCTCCCACCAGCCCCATTCCTTTAAGCAGCACCTCCTTTTCAAATCCTTTAGCAGGACATTTTACCAGTCAATGGATGCCTTCTCTATGAAGTACCTGCACTGGACACCTGCCCCAGGAGCCCCACAATTACAAAATGACTTGTGACATATGGCCTAGGTTCCTTTCCACTTCACCATAATAGGTCCTCCCTGAAGCCCCCTGTGAAGGAGAACCCCCCCCCCAACACACACACACACACACACTACACCTAAGCCAATATGGTAGTGAGGGAAATATTCCTTCCCAGCCTCCCTAAAAAGAAGCAACTAGCGCAATGTCCATAGCAGGTGCTAACCAAACCTGATATTTGCTATCTCAAGGAAAGGGAGGGGAGATCCTCCCTTGCTTGCTGCCTGGAGAAAGGACTTTTAATACTTTTAAAACATCTCCCCTATGTTGCCAGGGAATGAGTCAGTGTTGCCAAGCTGAGCCCCCACTCATCTCTCCTTCTGGAGGTGGGTCCAGGGAGTTCCAGTACTTCCAGCATTTGCATGAAAATTGATAAAAAACAAATCAAACAAACAGTGGCTTCTTTTAATTCCATGGATATTCCCATTAAAAAATCTAGTTAGAACTGAAAACAAAGGGCCTTGCATATACTAAAACATTCCAATGTGTCAAAGAGCATGAGGGAATGGCACACCAAAGCTCATGGAGAAACTGCTTGAAAGGAGGGAGCTGTGGTAAGTGCAGCAAGTGTTGGACTCATAGTAGGACACACAGGAAGCAAACAGAACACATCTTTGGGCAGCATGCTGGGTAGGAGCTATTCCTTGAATATTTGCACCTTTCTATCTGGCATTTATTATGCAGGATTGAGCCGTTAGTTTTATTAATACCACAGTTGCCTATAATTATAAAATATGCAGTTGAATGTGACTATGAGGTTAGCATCAGGATCCTAATGTTCATCTTTTGCATACAAGAAAAAAAATCAAATTTCAGAAGTCAGTGAGCAAAAGATAAATGCTATTCAACAGTGATAAAAGATAATGTGATGCGACAGGGAGCAGTTGAGAGAATGCTAAAGAGGAGATATATAAGACCTAGGCTAATTAAGGTGTGGTTCCCTATAGACCAGGGAGGGCTGTTGCAGGAAAATTGAAGCACCTGTAGTGAATTAAGGCACTGTCAGGAACCTGATATCATATGGCAGGCTACTTAAGGCAAGGATACCGGTAGGCCAGTTACAGCAGCTATAGACAATTAATGCCCTCTTAGGAACCTAATAACCCTTCATCCTCCTCAGGCAGATTGGGTGGAAAACTAGAGGTTGGAGGGTGCTGCTGAGATTTGAGAGAGCAGAGAATTGGAGATCTTGTCCCAGCAAAGCAGGGAGACTCTCCCACCCAGTAACAAGGATGAAGACTCCCCCACACATCCCAAGGTAGAAGAGGGTAAGAGTTTGAAAGGGGCTGGGGTTCAGGTCTATTCCCTGCCACCTTCCTGGGCCACCAGTAGTACCCTGAGTACCCCAGGAGGGGGGGATGTCCTTGCCCCTGCCATGAAAAGGGTGAGGCCCAACATTGGCTATTCTGCCACAATAGGGAGTCAAAATAGCGGTTAAACTTGATTGATTTCTTACTTTATATTTGCTAAACAAAGCACAATTGTAACAGAAAACACAAACACAGTGATTGTTTTGTAGATGATGTGTTATGCGGCACCGTTGTTCAGAAATAACAATGTTGATTGTGGTTGTGGTGGATCCTTCTCATAACATCTCCCAAAAAGTGCCACTGTTAAAACTGGTTTAGATGTACCATTCTGACTGATCAAACGTCCATCACTTAATACCTAATTGAAGAGGATAATGATACCATTAACAAGCAGTACTATATGGTGCACAAGTAACAGATTTATAAGGTAAATGTTGAGGAAACAGTTTAAGAAGAGTCTTGAAAACATTGCCTGTAAAGCCAAATTGCTTTGAGGCCAATTACTGAACTTAAAGGGCACTAAATACATGTTTTCATTATTAACAAGCTTGCCTTAGCTTTGTTTTGACTTTGTTGCAATATTTTGTTCCTTTCCCCTATGAGGGCCTGGGAATCTAGTTTGAAGTAGCTCAAAGACCTCCTCTTACCTGAAATTCACCAGGTGCCAACTGAACCCCACTGACCAGGACTTCCGGGAAGACATAAGTAGTGCCAAATGTACCGCTGAGAGAGAAAGTTTCAAACTTAGTTTGAGCAATAGCCACTGGCTGCCCACAAGTTTTCAAGTCTGTGCTTTCACACTTCAGCAGTATGCATATCTATGAAAAAGGAAAAAAAAAACCACACATTTAGGAGACTCTTAATGTAAAAATACAATCTGAACTTTTACTAGTAGTAAAATTTGACTTTGTATTCCTCAAGACCAGATGGTACTGACTCAGCTCCAGTCTTATGCCAACAATCCACTAAGGAGGTGCATCAGGAATAATGTTTTTCATCCAAAGGGTTTCCAGCCCTGCAGCTTCTGTCCCCAGCATGTGTCTCCACACTGTTCTTCCTTACTTACTTGGTGCACACAAAGGTAGTTGCTTCTCTTTACCAGCAGGGTTTTGCCTTCTTGCTTTTTCCAGAACTATCCACCCACCGGATACCATTGCTCCTGCTTGACACTTCCCCTCCCTTCATTTTTTTAGACTGTTCCAATTGCCTGGGCCATAGGCACTGATTCTTTTGGTGCTCCAGGCCTGGTATAAAGTGGGTGTTCAGCATCTACCAGATATAGCTGTTTAGTGGCTGGGGGAAGGTGGAGAGCAGTAGGTGGGTGAGGGCCTCAGAAAGGGGGCAGGAAGAGGTGGAGCAAAGGGATAGAGTGGGGGGTGAGCCCTCAGAGTGAATGTAGCAGGGATGGGAAGAGGTGGAATGAGAAGAGGGGCAAAGAAAGGATAGGCCCTGAGGAGTGGGGGCAGGAAGAGGCAGAATGAGGCTGGAGCCTTGGGGGACAGTGAGGGTGGCACACCCTCAGAAAACTAAAAGTCAACACCTTTGGCCTGGACCCTTTCTCATACTCTCCCTAAGAGCCCCCTCTACAGTTTCCAGTCATTCTTCCCACTCCTCCACTTTATAGTTGACTTTTTTTTACTAATAAAATTAAACCAAGTTCTTTGATGGAGAGCTCAGGCAATCTTACACACTGTCAACAACACAGTCAATGAACCGGTTGGTGGTCTACCAGAAGTTAATTTGGATGTTTCCATCCATTTCTTGGTGGAGAGGTGCCTACATAGTAAAGCCAATACTCCAGCTGACATTCTTATGTTGGATTTATCAGCAGAGATACCAAGGAAAGCACAAAGACTGAATTAGCTTTTTATTCCCAGGGGCAATCCCTCCAGATTGGTCTTGATGTGTAGCAGAAGGCAAGGTGAGGCAGCATAAATTGCTGGAGCTTGTTTTGTAAAGAATTAAAAGATTTGGTCCACACCACCAGACATTTGGAAAGACCAAAATTTTATCAACAGGATCAAACAAGAGTTTTGATTGCATCAAAGTGACTTTAAAATGTATCAGAAGAAATGTAGGGTGTCTAAAACATCGACACATAAGGCGATGGATTATAATCTGTGACAGCTAGCATAACTGGTTCTAAGCAGAGGAAAGTAATTTTTAAAAAGGACCTATCAGTAATTAGTGCAATCAATTTGTTCAGAAAACGAAGAACAGTCCATATAAGGTAATGATTAAACAAATATTTCTAGCAAGATAGTGGTTTACCAGGAAGTGCTGTCTTTCCCAAATGTTTGGTCAACAGAGCAAAATAAAACTTTCATCCTTTATGTAAATGCCACTGACATGACATGGCAAATTAAACTCTGTCTTTCTGAATTCAACTGAGTGTAAAAGCCCTTGTCAGTGGGATGCGATCAATTGTTAGCTTTAACAAATCAGAACTAGATAAGATCAACCCTTATGAAAGAAACAAAGAGATTGCTTGCATTGGAATTTTGAAAATCTCTAATAGCATCCCAAATATATCTTTCTGCTATTTATCCTCCTGAGGACACCACAGTGGACAAGTGGTGAAGGGAAGAGGAGGGGAGAAAGAAAGGAGTGGGAAATACAAAGATCCAGTCTATTGTGGACTAATTTGATTTTGTATGGTAATAATTCCCTCTTTTCACACAAACTATAAGTTTTGTATCCAGGGCCATTCCAAGACTTGCTCTTTAGGCAAAGCAGACTCACTAGAAATCCCAGCATCAACTCATCACTGACAACCAAATACAAGAAAACACCACTATCCCTTTTCTTCTTCCTGGGATCCAAACGACTATCCCAGGCAAAGTAGCCTCCTAAACAAACCAGCTATATATGAAGTATTTCACATGTTCCCCCCCAAAAAGTTTTACCTGCAAATAATATTGTCCTTCAACAACATGAAGGCCATCAAAAGCACCCAGCACATAAACTTCGTCTTTTTGCTTCTCTGCCATCCTATAACTCAAATGACAGCAAAGGTCTTTTTGGCAAACTGTAAGGTTTCCTTCAGGCTTAGAGAGTTCAGTGAAAGTGAACTGATCAAAGAAAATTATTCCATTGAAATCATGGTCATCTGATGAGAATCGTTTGACGCTTTTGGCGTATGCGCTCCAATTAACAGCAGCAGGGTAGGCAGGAGACAGACGAGGATGTGAACTCAGCTCTGCAACCAGTAGGTGACCGTTTTCTGTTTCCATGTCATAATGAAATGCTCTGGGTCCATCAGGTGCATAGATACCACTCCCTGTGCATGACAGGCAACATTTTCAGTCCAAAAGAATCAGCCATTTGGATGATATTGGCCTTTTCATTTTCCCCAGTGCTGTTTATTCTACTACTATGTTTAAAACATAACCAAAAATTACCCCCCCCCCCCAAATTAAACCTTTAACAACTCAAGTCTTTTCTTACAATTCCCAGAGAAGGGACAGGGTGCATTAGGGTGACTAGACAGCAAGTGTAAAAAAATAGGGATAAGATGGGGGGAATAATAGGTGCCCATATAAGACACAGCCCTGAATATTGGGACTATCCCTATAAAACTTGGACATCTGGTCACCATAGTGATCTTATTGAGACAATGTGCCAGATTCTCAATCGTGGCTCAGATCTCATCAGCACAACAGAAGGGAGCTGGACATGGCAGCATGGAATCCAGTCAGGGATCCAACTATGGCTCCCTGATTACCTGGTCCACTGCAGAGCAAAAAGGCTTAATGATAGGCCACAGCCCAACACATTCACCCTCCAGCCCTACCCTAGGGCTGGGAGGGGAATGACGTAGAGCTGGCTATTCTGGCTTTTTCCCAGTCGAGAACTCTACATCAGGGGAATCTGGCTGACCAAATAAAGCCAAATCAGGGAGAGAAACAGGCCCAATACATTTATGGGAGTAATAGATTCCATGACACGTCTATATACTTTCCTGAAGCCCTGCACTTCTGCCAGTCAGAATGGATCACGAGGGACAAAATTTCAGATGCTCTCAGCATGACACCCCAGTCAGCTCGGTGTAAGAGTTTCTGTGTATGAGCTGAATCCTATGACTGGCATCCCATATTTATTCATTCATGGAATTTAAGGCCAGAAGGCATTATTATTATCACCATCTAGTCTGGGCTCCTTCCAACCATAGACTTTCATTCTTTAATTTGTTCATCAGCTGGGAATGAACAAAAGCCTATATTCTTGAGATCATCCAATCTTAAAGATTCCAAGTGATGAAGAATCCATCCGAATCCTCAGTACATTTTTCCAATGATAAATCACCCCTTATGATTTAAAAAGAAAAAGTCCTCCTTTCGAACCTGAATTTTTCTTGCTTCCACTTCCACCCATTGTATCTTGTTACCTTTGTCTGATAGATTGACAAGCCCTTATATCTTAGATGAGGCCGAAACTGGGAGACATGCCTTGTATTTTAGACAACATGAATATGATTGCTGGCCCAGCTCTAATACTATGTGGCTACGTCTAGACTGGCATGATTTTCCGCAAATGCTTTTAACGGAAAAGTTTTTCCATTAAAAGCATTTGTGGAAAAGAGCGTCTAGATTGGTATGGACGCTTTTCTGGAAAAGCACTTTTTGCGGAAAAGCATCCGTGCCAATTTAGATGCGGTTTTGCGCAAGAAAGCCCCGATCGCCATTTTTGCGATCGGGGCTTTTTTGCGCAAAACAATACCGCGTTGTCTACACTGGCCCTCTTGTGCAAAAGCAATAGAAGTTGCTTTTGCGGAAAAACTTGCCAGTCTAGATGCAGCCTGTGAGTATGAGATCTAATAGTTTTCAAAGTGCAAACAATAGTCCTTGGCTAAAAGATCATATTCCATATGTATGGTTCTAAGTATATGTAAGGTCATATTGTTTTAAAAGAACAATGTTCTTGTGACAGCTCTTGAAACATGATCCTAAGGGATTGATTGATGAAGAAAGAAAGCTAGTGACAAACAGAATCACACCAGGGAAGCTATGCTAAGGAGGTACAAGATTTTGCTCACACATAGAAAGTCAGTAAAGAGAACTAAGAAAGCTCTGGAGGAGCTAGGAAGGGGAGAGGAATTAAAAAAACAAGAAGTAAACAAAAAAAAAAACCTCAGTGAATTTTTCTGGGCCCTCGTTTGGCACTGGGAAATACTGTAATTAGAAATGAGGCTACAGAGGGCTCAAAAGCGTTTTTAGCTTCAGAAGAAATAAACTGTTTTATGCTGCACAACTCAGAGATGAGAGAACAAAAATCCAGAATTACAAAGATAATTCATCTTATCTGAAACATCAAATTACCTGTCATAGCCATGCTGGTGTTGTGTGTATCAGCTGCAAGGAAATTGACTCCCAGCCCCATAGCCCAGGCAGAGTGGAATTCAATAGCAGTTAAATGTGGTAGGACATTCATCCAAGCAGTAGTGAACAGCACAGTATCCACCTGTAACTCGCTCACCAGCGTCACAGCTGGGTCATGAAAAAGTATGTCGAAGCAAGTGAAAAGACCGAACTTTCCAAAGGGCGTGTTGAAAGTGACAAGCTCTGGCTCCTTAGGGTAATCAAACTGAGTTTCTGACATAAAGAGATTATACTGACAACAAGGGAAGAAACGAGTTAAGATATACCTAATGCAATTGCTAGAAACATAAAATTTCTAAAAGTAACTTGCATTTTAATTTTTTCCCAAAACCCTTCATATTGAACTGGAAAAAGTGCATCTACGCCCCAATAAAAAACCCAGGAACAAACCATGGGATAAAAACTGCAGCGTACATGTTTGGGCTTGGACAAGAGCCTAAGCCTAAAGGCCTGCAAAGGAGCACATCTCATTGTGCATTATGTCTGAATGTCTGCATTGTGATTTTTTTCAGCCCCCGATGCCTAAGTGAGTCCGCTGATTTGGGTCAGCCCTAGGCCTGTGAGGTAGATCTTTTACTGAAGTATAAACATACTTCCAAGTCCTAATAACTGGCTGAAGGGAGCCATATAGAATGTACATAATGGTGTTTCTCTGTCTGTTATGTGATAACTTTTGAATACCATATTTTAACAACTTCAAAATGTCAGGGAATGTGGTAGGCATCAGTGGGCACAACCCTATTGATTTTGGTGAAAATCAGGCAAACCACAAGGGGATAAAGTAAACGAAGATGTAGTGTTAACAGAGCTAACAGCTTTAATCACCTTTGCAACAGTCTGTAGATCAAAGCACAGTTTGTTGATGGCAGCTGTTAACACCTTTCAGCCTAACAGTGTAACCCATATACCTTCTCGGTGTGGTGTACTATCCCATCTAGTGGCACCCAGACCACCTACAGAGGAAAATATGAGTTCACCAGCCATAGCTGGGAGCCAGCTGGCTTTTAGCTCAAATGAGGCTCATGCACTAAACTCCAGCCGTCCCAGGTTTGGTTCCATCTGTCAGCATTACAACAGCACTCACCTCCCATACCCTATTTCAACTCATCCATCCAACACAAATTTAAAAAGATGGCATCTTAAAAGATTTCCCTCCCAGGCCTACAGAAAAGAATTGTGCAATGTCACTTCTTACCTTATGATAGCGTGCCACTAATTTCCCGTCTGAATCAAAGACAACGTTAGTGTTATATTGATAGTGACCATTGCTGGGGCACTTAGGATCACTGGAATTGCATGGTTTCTTATCTCCAATATTGGCAACCACATAGAGAGCGTTGTCTCTTGCCATGCAGCTGAGCCTTTCCTGCACCGGTGCAGGAGCAAATCTAGTTCAATTTTGGCCAAAGGAAAATGCACAAAACAAAAAACAGTCCAGGATCAAACTAAATTCAAAGCTGAAAAAATGAGAAAATACTCTTCAAAGTTAATCTTTTAATGGAACACTGGCATTTAGAGAAGCAGCTGTAATGGACCAGATGAGTATTAGGAGGATATTCAACAGATATTGCTTATTTTCTAATCCTGCTATTGGAGCTGTGCAGGCATACTATCAGAATTCCTGGACGGCCCTTTGCTTGCAGTGAACTTCTGCATGGGTGGAAGGGTCTGCCCTCAATGATACTGTAACAGGATTAAGGCTTGAGAACAAGGGCAGGGAACCTACAGCCCGTCCGTCCGCATCTAGTCCCTGCCTTAATTTGATCTGACTTGTGGCAATTTTCTGCATGGCAGGTTTGAATCCCCAAGCCTCGGATGTCCCCTTCCCCCTCAGGTCTCTGCAGCACGAGTGCTGGCTCACCCCACTGTGGAAGGATCCCCATCCCTACCTTAGAATGTCAGCTGCATGGAACTGGCTGTGCCTCCGCCTAAGTATCTGTATAGCACCTAGCACAATTGCTTGAAACAGGGCAGGGACCACTACTGTAGAGTTGAATTTAGTATGGATATTTCAGTTAAATTTGAAATAAAATGTTTTCCTCAATTTTGCATCAAATTGAAAAACACTAAAATCAGTTTTAAAATAGTTTAGTTTTTTATATAATTCTGAGCCAATTCAAAATGATTTTTTTTTTAAACTTTGATGCAGGATTTTGGATTGGGGGAGTTGGGGTTTTGTGTGTGTATGTGTTTTCATCTTCTCTCTCTGTTTTTTAAATTGGCCACATTTTAATTTATTTTGAAATGAAAAGGAGAAATGAAACATTTTGACTTCATCACAAATATTTTGTTTTTCTTAGGTGGAATTATTTGTTGAGTCAGTGGATAGTTTCAGAGTACTTAAAAAATGCATTTTTCAATTAAACATCTCCTTGTTGAAAAAATGTCATCCAAATCTGTACTGCTGTACAAATATTTAACAGTAAGAAATGCATTTCGATTCCTTCTCATTGCAATGCTTTTGTTTTGTAGGAAGGAATGGAGATGCAGAGCCTGCTTTCCTTATTCTTCAAGTTGCCCATAGACAGGGAACCTCTTTTAACCAGGCCAGTTTTTACAATGATCTTCAAAACATCTGCCTGAAAATTTTACCTGTCACTATAAATATAATGCATTATAAAAAACAATTAAAACTATAGCCAGGATGATGGTTTATGGGGCATCATTGCAAATACATCCAAAATTCATTTAATCTCAAAATAGTGAAATTGTTTCCTCTGTCCCTTCAAATGAATAAGAATAGAGAGAGACTTTTCTGTTGTGCCACTTACTAGCAAATGGTTAAACACTCAAAACATTTTCCCTTTATATATTCATTGAGATGTTAAATTACACATCCAAAACTGACAGAAGTGAGATCCATCAACTAACATGAAAGTTAGTCCTTTCACAAATATGCTAATCCATTTATGTACCAAAAGCCATACAAACATACACAAATAATTAAATAACAATTATGGATGAGGAAGAGCAATATTCACCCCCCACAAAACTTTGAAAGCTCCATTTAAGGTACTTTAACATACTGTCCCCCACACCACACGTGATACAGCAGGTTCACTGGAGAACAATCATACCCCACCCCTGGGAATGTCTGAGAGAGGCTAGAAGCCACTGCTATGCCACTGTGGTCACTCTGCTACTTTTAAAGGTCACTAGCTCAAGCAGAATTAGCACATGTCTATCTACCAGCAATGGGAAGCACGCTTCCAGCTTCTGTGCTGACATAGCCTAGGAGACTCCACCCCTATATACAAAACTCTCATACACTTCCAGTATGTTCAGTAACCTCTCTCTCCCCCTGTGCTCCGCCTCGCCTCGCCACATTCCTCACAATTGCACTATAGTGTGAACTTTTAACTCTGTCTTCAGCAACATAGACTTGGGCAACCTGATAATGGGTAATGAGTTGCTTTTCAATGGGAAAGTCATTGCTATGACATGACTTCCCCTTCTTACTGGTTCCCCTTTCTGCACAACAAGCACACAGGTTTTGGAAACATATCTATCGCCTCAGGACTTAGCCCCAAACAAAGCTCCATATCTGCACTTCGTATCTTATTATGAAACCCCTTTGCCTCTGTTCTATCCGCAATGCCAGTTTTAATAACCAGTGTTACCTATTTCTCCCACAAACAATTTTCAATGCTGCCTCTTATACGTAGGACTGTGGCTGAACTAGTTTGTAAAGCCATTACTCAGTCTTTCTTGAAATCGGTCCTCCAGACCCTCTTCTGCCATAGTAAATTGCTAAAAATACCTTTATAAAGAAAAATAAAACCTCTGCAAATTGTATCTGTAGTTTGCCTATGCTGCCTTGTGTTCTAATCACAGTTACATTTATCTTTCCCTTTGCCAGTCCCTCATCCTGCCACTTGTGCCTTGCCTTAATTTAGGCTGAAAAATCTCTTTGGTGTGCAGACAGGCTTGTAGTAGGATCCCAGTTCTGACTGGGATCTGTAGGTGCTACTAGTAGTAATAAAGCTATCAACATAATTCAAAATGACCTTAGCAAGTTAGAGAAATGGTCAGAGGTAAACAGGATGAGGTTTAATAAAGAGAAATGCAAAGTGCTCCACTTAGGAAGGAACAATCAGTTCCATACATACAAGATGGGAAGCGACTGTCTAGGAAGGAGCATGGCGGAAAGGGATCTAGGGGTCATAGTGGACCACAAGTTGAATATGAGTCAACAGTGTGATGCTGTTGCAAAAAAAGCAAATATGATTCTAGGTTGTATCAACAGGTGTGTTGTAAGCAAAACTCGTGAAGTCATTCTGCCGCTCTATTCTGCACTAGTTAGGCCTCAGCTGGAGTACTGTGTCCAGTTCTGGGCGCCACATTTCAAGAAAGATGTGGAGAAATTGGAAAGGGTACAGAGAAGAGCGACAAGAATGATTAAAGGTCTAGAGAACATGACCTATGAAGCCAGGCTTCATGAACTGGGCTTGTTTAGTTTGGAAAAAAGAAGATTAAGGGGGGATATGATAGCAGTTTTCAAATATCTAAAAGGGTGTCACAAGGAGGAAGGCGAAAATTTGTTCCTCTTGGTTTCTGAGGACAGGACAAGGAGTAATGGGCTTAAAGTGCAGCAGGGGAGGTTTAGATTGGACATTAGGAAAAAATTCCTAACTGTCAGGGTGGTCAAATATTGGAATAAATTGCCAAGGGAGGTGGTGGAATCTCCCTCTCTGGAGATATTTAAGAACAGGTTAGATAGACATCTGTCAGGGATGGTGTAGACGGAGCTTGATCCTGCCTTGAGGGCGGGGGGCTGGACTCGATGACCTCTCGAGGTCCCTTCCAGTCCTATTATTCTATGATTCTATGATTCTATGATTCTAACTCAACTTCCATCAGCACTCTAAGCGTTCTTTAGAAATCTGCCACTCAGGTACTCTCCACACCACATCTCCATCCCCTATCAAACTCTGATAAACTCTCAGGAAAAAAAAAAAGATTACAAATGGGAATTGGCAAAGTCTAGCAGCAGCAATGATGATGTCGCCTTACAACCTTTCACCCAGAATTGTGGACTGTTGTTCAACAAAGGACTTCATCTTGATAAGTGCCTGGTTGGTAAAATGCTTATCATTAACTGAAATACCTGTGCAGTTAGTCAGGACATTTTAAAGGTTAGGTTATTTAACTGTTGTGCACAATGATCTTGGAGCCAAAAGACAGCTAATGTTTTTGCATTTATTATTAATCCATTTTAAAGCTGCATAAGCTTTACCTTTTAGGATCAGTGCATGGAATCCAATTCACTTGTGGGTCTGGAATGTCCTCAAGGTAGGGGAAAATGGTGTCTCGTGTGAAGGCCCAGCCATAAATGCCATCTTCAGGAGTCACAATGATGTGTGCATGCTGAAACAGACTAAACTGAGCACTTACCAGCAAGAACGAAACAAATACCCAAGAAAATCAAGAGACAATACCTGCTGGGCTGCTGCTTTGATGGCCTCCTCCAAAACATCCATATTTTTGTTCATTAGCATCAAAGCATCATCAGGACAAACAGGACTCCCAGTGACATTTGGCAATATAACAGAGTGCTCATACACTGCTGCAATGTAGCTGTCCAAGGCACAGGCCGGAAAGACCAAAACAATAAGAAACGTAGCATCTATGTGAGGCTGGAACGTGATCATGGTTGAAGCTCAATGGTAAATGCAATACTGTGAGCAAGTTTCTGAAGGACTTCAAAAAAAAAAAAAAAAGAGAGAGAGAGACTGAGTGGCAAAGTCCAGCTTACTTATTAGTTTACATTGGCAACAATTCTCTGATATTGGCTGGGAGAAAACAGCATTGTGCAATCATACTACCATAGCAAAAAATGTATTACAGCAACAAACGATCTACATAGTTAAATAGGTAAGCGATAGTCACTGAATCACTGACATGAGAATAACATGTGCCAGTGTGAGAAGGGTTTTCAAACTCTGGGTTGTGACGCAGAAGGGCAAACTGCTAAGCAGCTGCAGGAAGCTATGTTTACCTCTCCCTATTCAGTTATGGGCAATCACAGCTCCCATTGGCCATGGATAACCATTACCGGACAATGGGAGCTGTGGGAAGCAGTGTCCCAGTCTGCACCACTTCCTGCGGCTCCCATTGTCTGGGAATGGCGATCTGTGGCCAATGGGAGCTTCAATCGCCCGTACCTGCAGAGGCGTGGGTAAAGAAAGAATCTCATGGCCATTTAGTGGCTTGCCTTTACAAGCTGCAATCCAGAGTTTGAAAATCCCTGCACTAAACAACTTCTGTCTAAAAAGAGTAGCCCAAATTTTGCTTTGCTGTGGCATTGACTTCAGTAGACTTGTGCAGAGTAGCATTTGGACCATGTTTGCATTTTGGGTACACTGGAACTCCCATTAAGGCCAACAGGAGGACTGACTGACTTCAGTCAGGACTGGATCAAGTCCCAGACTAGGTTTGAAAAATTTAAACTAGGGCAATGTGATGGAGTCACTCCCTATTACACCCCCATTTCTTTGCATTCCAGAATTTCTTGCCATTACATACAGCTTGCTTCCAGTCAGTTTCTTTGCAAGGTGTTTAAATTAACTCCTAATCACAGACAAACTTGTGCAATTCATACAGGTAGTGGTTTGGATCATATACTGTCTTGTCTTTTGTACCAGCTGCTCTCAGAATAAACATTAACACCAATTTTGTAAACTGACAAGGGAGGCCACAGAATGTCCCTTAGAAATTATCCAAGATCACAGAGCAATCAGCAGCCCCTACTGACCTAGAAAAGACCAATAACTGAACAATCATTTATGCTGTTCTTTTAAATAATCGCTTGGAAATTTAAATACATCTCAAACCAAATCTAGCTCACCTTGTTCACATGAGTAGTCTTGACTCAGTAAGCAAAATGTGGACAGTTTGACCTTTTTAGTTTTGTTTACACTAGAACAGCCATAAGCAACAGATGCAGTTATCCCCATAGAGAGCGATTGCTAATGTTGCACAAACACATTAGAATGGCTGCAGAGACCATAGTTCAGCCTCTACTTTGGCCAGAGCAAATTAAAAAAAAATCAGGCCCATAGTTTTCCTTTGAAAAATGCTGGTTCAAAAAAAAATCCCACAGGAATTTGTTGACTCCGTCTGAAGCTAGTGAAGGGAAAGCTAGTAGGTTTTTTTTTTTAGTTGGTTAGTTCCCAGAATCAAAAGGAAGGGGAAGAGTCTGTAAGAAATCAGACTCCTGAAATTGACAGCCCGCAGGAGCAATAGGAAGAGGCCAGAGCTCCAGTTCAGCCGACTGACAGGGCAAGCAGGCCAATAAGGGAGTGAGAAGGCTGGGAGCGTTTTGTCCTCCGTATGAGCTGGATTTTCCTGTGTCAGTCTGAGTGAGGCTGAGGTAAGGAGGGACTATGTGCCTGAGCGGAACTGGGGAGGGGAGCCATGCCAGCCAGAGAGAAACAGCCCAGCAGTGGAGCCATGCTGGGGGCAGGGCAGCAGCCGGAGAAGCAGCCCAGGAGCTGGAGGCAGCACAGCAGTTAGGGGAGCTAGAGCTGGGAGCAGTGAACAGCAGGGGGGACCCTAGAGGCCAAGCGCAAGGGGCCTTGCAGGCCAGACTGGGAAGGACTGATGCTGCGGTGAAGGTTCCTACCACTCAGACCAAGTGTCTGACCAGCAGCACTACCAGGGCCTTCAGCACAGCCAGGAGGGCTGGGACCTGCTAGGAACAGACTGTGAAGTGCCCTTACACTCCTCAGACACTGTGCATGAGGCCTCCATGTCACAGAGGGAGTGATGTGCTTTCCAGTCATTTTGTAATTGATTGATTGTTTTTTTAATTGATTATTTAATTTAATAATCAGTTGTAGTTGCTTTGAACTGTATGTACTCATCAGTGGGCCGGGGAACATCCAGTGAGAGGAGAGCACCCCAAAGTGGGGACACCTTGGCCCATGCTCTAGCTCAGTGTGACTCAACCTTTTTTAATAAAGTACCTCTTTAAAAAAATTATAAATACCCCCAGCTCCCCCCCCCCCCCCCCCACACACACAGCCAGGCACCAGACGTATGGTAACCCTACCTCAGCAGCTTGTCTGCAGGGAGCAAGTTGCCCACCAGCACCAGGCTCGCCGGATGGGGCTGTGCACACCCACCTCAGCCTGCGTCAGCAACTGCCCCCCCTCGATATGCCAGAGATTCGGGAGGGGGGTCCTTTGAAGCAAAGCTTATTGTACCACTTCAGCACCTTTCAGCTCCTCTTCACGGTGTCATGAGGAAGGGGTGATAGGGATGCGTTGTACTGAGCAGCTGGCAGGGGTGGGGGTAATGCGCATCTCCAGGTTCAGCCGCCCTCCCTGCTGGAGCACCTCAGGGAGGCTGCTGGAGAGGAAGCAAACTAGGAGAGGCGGTCATGGAAGTGATTATTCTCACCGCTCAAACCTACCCCCCAACTTGGAACTGCCTTGGGTTTCGCTGCAGCCAGACACTTTTCCCACCAGTGCTGGGAAAAATGAGCGGCTGTTAATGTTCGGGTGTGTGCCTCCGAACATTCAATTACACAGCCACATGCCACTACCCCCTCTCCGATTCCCTTTGTAGGGCAAAATCCCAGACATTTTTTGTCAAATTTCACGTGTTGATGTGCCCCCCAGACATCTCCTGCGGGTACCCCTAGAGGATACACGTACCACTGGATAAGAAACTACAAGGTTAGGGTTACACACAGGAGAGTGGAAAGGGAGACCTGGGTAAAGGAGGTGGGAGGGGAGACTCAGATCCTTTTGCTAGTCCATTTCACTGGAGTGGGGAAATAGCAAGACCATTGCCCTGCTTACACTAGCAACAAAATCAGCTGACTAGCTTGGTCTGCCTGCTTTCTTGCCAGTCTGCCTGCCAGCAGATCAGGCACCTAGCAGGATTTCTCTTTAATGGGTTGTTTGGCCAGCTTTGTGGCTAGTTTGCTCCCTGCCTGAAATTTAACAAACAAGAAAACACAACAAGAACTGGTCTGTGTAATTTCACTTCCAACTTTTTGTTCCAGTTCAATATGAAGTTTGTTGCCCTTAGAATTAAACAGCTAGTTCCTGCTAATCTTCAGTATGGGAAGGAAGGGCTTTGGACCTGGCTGGCTGAAGCTTACAGCAGGATCTCATTGCTGTACGATGGCATGTTTAATTTAAAGTAGTTGTAGTTCAATACAAGCTCTCCAAGCATTATTAAGCATACTGAAAAACTATCATTGAACATGGCTTTAAAGCAGTATCAAGCACAATTTATTCTTGGTTTTGTTGCAGTTGTGCAGCACTAATTTAGATGCATTATTGCTAACAATAGATATAGGCAGGATATCTACCGATTTGTTTTTTGGCTGCAGATGTGATCATTTAAAAAGGAAGCAACTAATATTCCATAATGTTTTGGGTATGATAACTGGGAAGCCTCCCTGAAATCAATTCATTTTTTGTCCTTGAGATTGGCACAGAAAACTGTCAGAACCAGCTGTAGCTCTCTCACTTGGTCAGGTAACAGGGACAAGGGCAGCCTAGCCTTGTGGTAAGATCAGGTGTGTCACGTGTCAGAACTAGGGAGAAGAGGTGGAGTCAGTTGTCAGATGCTAGAACTGAAGGTCAAAGTGGAGGTGAGGAACTGGGACTTGGAGTGAACAGGGTAAGCAGGCAAGATGCGGTTCAAGGCAGAGACGGGACCAAGGCATGGCTTGATGCAATGAGGAGCAGCAGAGCAAAGTAGCACAAGAATAGTTGCAACATTGGGCATGAGCACTGAGTGCACAACCAACAAGAACTGTTGCTGCTGGATTAAGAGTCAGCCTGCTGGCCTCTCCAGCAAATCAGGCAGCCTGCTGCAGTCCAGCCCTACTGAGGAGACTATGGGTACTGCAAACCCTGTATTCCTGTCTGGAATATGTGGCCAAATACAATGAGTTTTGCAGCTACATAACAATGTGCTACCAAATAAAAGGGTAAACAGACAAATACTTATAGAAACCATCAGATTTTTCATACTGCTGGGTCAGTTATTAGCAGACCATCATGTTGAGGGGGGGGCAATTTAGATCAATGAGAAGTTGTGTCACTGCTTGCCGGTGGCTCTGGCTGATGTTGTCTCTCCCCACCTGGCAAGACCAGACTAACATTTTGTGGCTAGGATCCAAACATTTGTAGTTTTTCTCACCAGTCATTTTCCTTCCTAACCATAGCTGACATTACTTCAGTCAGAACTGTCTAAAAATGGACTAGGTGCTGGCTTCCTTGGTCTTCTCATGTAAAAGATTTCTGCCCTAGTTTCTCACCTACATTTGGTTCCTGGGACTTCAAACTGCCTCCCACTCAACCTTGGTTGAAGAGCCTGTGTTTCTCATCTTGCAAAAGCTCAGGCCACTGGATGGTTTGGTACTTGATTATCTCTTCCAAAGTTCAAATTAACTTGTTTTCAAGAGGCAGGATGACCTCCTAGTGTTTTGCCCTCCCTCTATGAATGGGACTTCCATTGTTTCTGGAAGACACCATGGTAAATAACTGCCTTGTCACCTGTTTGGGAGGGAAATGATTTTGCCTTGTTTAACTAAAGAATATTATTAAGTATCCATATTTCCTCATATGGACCCACACATCTCAATGAGTCAGAAGTCATTGCTCAATACACTTTTATAATACAGTAATGTTGTATATAATCAGTTGATTAATTTGCTTATTTAATATTCAGACCCTCTGTCTTTATAGACCAATAAACTTTTTAAATGAATTCTGGAAAGTAAAATCCAGACCAAGCTTCTCTCTTCTGCTGGGTCAGACGCCATGCTTTTCTTCCCCATTTGTTAATGTGGGGTTTACCTCCATCCCTTATTAGCCTGATGAGTCTGTTTAATGCTTATATGTAAATTGAGGTCAACACTCTACTTTGCTTAGGACAAACCTGTTTGACATACCACTACCTGACATACCTGGTTTACAAACTCTTCAGCCATAATTCTAGCATATACCCATCACATAAGCATATTAATGTTCAGTGAGTTACTGCTTTTCAAATGATACTTCACAAGGCATAGTTTATACAAAGACTGCTGCAATAGTGTGAAGGGTGTGAATATAGGGGTGCTTAGGCCAGGTCTACACTGCGGGGGGGGGGAGGGGGAGTCAGCTTAAGCTATGCAATTCCAGATAGGTAAATAACATAGCTCAAGTCGACGTACCTTAAGCTGAGCTTTGCACCATCTCCACAACAGGGAGGTAATTGGGAAAAATGTTCCAGTTGATGCCAATGGGGGCACCCTAGCATTTGATTTACTAGGTCTTTACTAGGCCGACTAAATCCAACCCTGGAAGATCAATTGCCAGAGTGTCCCATCAACCAGTAAGTGGAGATGTGGCCTTATTTAAGAAACAATGCATATTTAACAAACACCCATATTAAAGAAACAATGCATAATATATACTGCATTGAGAAGATAGGGACTAGTTTGTGGTTAAGGCATTGGAATGGGATTCAGGGATTTTGGTTCAATTCCTTGCTCTCCCATAGATAGTCTGTGTGATCTTGGGCTAGCCCTCTGCTGTAGAGACTATGACAGTTACCAGACAGTGCTTTTTCCAATTAAAAATTATGCCTTAAAAGGTTGAGGAGCACATATAGTGATGAGCTGAGCCCCTTCCACACCTAGAAAGACAAAAGTTACTAAGTACCTTCTCTAACTGGGCCTATGGAGTGATATGTGGTTTTGTACTGTATGTTTGAGTATTTCTTAGACATTGGCCTAAAACCTTGATACTATTCACTTTGATTTAAAATGAAGCAGGAAAACCTGATTAGTATGGCATGCTAAAGGAATTTCTACACTAACATCTCCCATCCCCGTCGATCTATCCTACACAACTTCAGCTTTGCAAATAGTATAGCTGAAGTGGACATACATACCTTATTGCATGGAAGACACCGTGGTAAGTAGAGACTGCTCTCTCATCAACTCCAGCTATGGCTACTCTTCTCATCCTTGTGGAGTATTGGAGTCAGTGGTAGTACGTCTACACAGCAGGGCTAAAGTCAAATTAAGCTACGTAACTTGAGCTATGTCAATTGAGCAGCTGAAGTCAAAATAGCTTAATTTGGCTTTTGGCGCTATCTACACAGTAGGAAGAACACTCTTCTTTTGACTTCCCTTCCTCCTTGTGAAATGAGGGTTACAGGAATCAGAGCAAAAAGTCCTCCGGCTTGGCATTATTTCAAAATAAAGGCTTGTAGTGTAGACGCATGCTATTATTTCGGAATAACATCAGTAATTCTGAAATAATGCTGCTGTGTAGACGTTCCCTGGGAGAGTAGTTGGAGATAGATTTATCACATCTAAGCAGACATGATAAATCAACTGCTGGTGGATTGATCACTACAATGTCGATCTGACACAGTGAAGAGAAGGGTGTAAAACTTGACTTGGAGAAAGAGAGATAGTTGATAGTCTGGTGTCACAGAAAGAAACTGGATTCAACAAGTGAATTTCTAGGAGGCAGAAGGAGTCTTGGAATCCAGAATCACTGGAGTCTTATTCACATTACATATGTGAATATGCTGACTACAATAACTAATATAAATGAAATTAAGCATATGTTTAAGTGCTTGTGGGATAATGTCCTAAAAACCACAGAACTTCTAACTAAGAACATACCCAAATCCTTGCTATCTTAATAGTGATGGGCACATTAGAAATACTGAGGGTATATAGATCTGCATGTACATTATTACACATTTCCTGGCATTTTCAGGACATTTTCCATAGGTAAACAGATCACTGTTTGAAACTGTAGCACAACTATAGTATTAACATTTTTCAAATAAGCACTTTTTGCACATAATTAAAATATGCTCATACTGTAAAATGCTCAGGGAAAACACATTGTAGAATGAAAACAGAATAATTTGAAACTATAATTTGGCATGATAAATATTCCTTTTAATAGACTATCCTATTTTAAAATGTAACTACACTATCTAACTGAAGAATTTTAATTTTTTTCTCAAATTACAGGACTCGAAGATATTGGATTGACAACTTAGAAGAATGTATCTAATTAATATATGAATCTCTTATTTATCAAGTTTTGTTTGGATGTCAAGCTGAACAAAAATCTCAGAGCTGACCTGTAACCCAACTCCCAAAATAAAAGTTTTAAGGAGAATAAAAATCTAGGTTCCAAAGTGAGCTTTGTTACTCAGACCAATATCTGCTGATGAAGAGCTTGATCCCATCATATTAAAGTTAGTGGAAGTTTTTCTATCAATTTGAATAGCTGCAAGATCAAGCCAGTAGCAAGTAGAGAAATAAAGATACAGAGCTGCAGTCCAATAATTTGGTTTTATAATGGAATCATAACAATCAAGTAATACAGAAGATGTGTAGATTACAAAATATGACAATATTAGATGTGACTGTAGTTAAGACAAATTAACTTTACAGGAAGTTCCTATTTTAAGAAAGTTAAGAAGCATCAATAGCAACATCATGTGGCAGTTTGTTGTGGGTGTGGAGGATCCTTTTCATACCACCTCCCAAAGAGAGTCACTGACAGGACTGGTTTAGAAGTGCCATTCTGGCTTATCAGACGTCCATCACTTAATACCTATTTTGAAAGAAAAAAAATAAATAGTACCATTGACAGAGCAGTGTGTGGGCAACACTAATAGAATCATAGAATAATAGGACTGGAAGGGACCTCGAGAGGTCATCGAGTCCAGCCCCCCGCCCTCAAGGCAGGATCAATATATATTCATGTATTTCAGTTTAGCTTGGAAACAGACATGTAACATGCAACCCAATCTCTGACCCAAGCCAATTACCAAGAGCAGAGGGCCTCTGAGTATATCTCAGTTGTCACTGTTGGACAGTAGTAGCCTTGGCCTTCATCATCTTAGGGCAGGATCCTTTGAAATGTGTCTGAAACAGCTCAAAGGCATTCTCTTACCTGAAATTCGCCAGGTGCCGGTTGAACCTCAGTGAGCAACACTTCTGGAAAGACATATCTAGTGCCAAATGTGCCACTGAGTGAAAATGTGTCAAAGCTTGTCTGAGCCGTAGCCACTGGCTGCCCACAAGTTTTCAAGTCTGTGCTTTCACACTTGAGTAGTGTACATATCTATGGAGAAGAAACAGAGGGGCTATATTAGTAGAGCTTCTAGTAAACAAGAGCCAGGTTTAGACAGCAGGGAAAATGGCTCATTCTCAAGGCATTATAAAAATATTTACTCGTGTACTTAGGGCAGTCTTATGGATGCTTTGATGCCTTGTAATTCAACAGTGTGCACAAATTCAATTATAGCTCTGCAAGTAGAGGGATTTGCTCAGAACACAAATCCTGTCAACTCTGTCTCAGTTTTGTAGTCAGTGAAATGGGAATATTTGCCTGTCACACACAGAAGGAGTCATTTAGGATTACACAATGCTATAAGAAGTGGCATTACATTGGAAATAAGAACAAACTCAAAAACTGTGTGTAAGAATGGGTCATATCCTTGTTTCTTAGATATATTAGCTTGCAGTACTAGCAGTACATTAAAGACTCTTATCAGTATGACCATTGCTTCAACCTGATGCTAAATGTGCACAGCTGAAACAAACTGTCCCACAGGATACAGAACATATTTGCTGAGTCAGTAAATGCTGCAGGAGGGCTGTCTTCCTAAAGAGGGGCTGTGTACCTTCTCTTCCAGATACACTCACAAACGTCTCTGAACCCTTATAACCAAAGATAAACCTAGGCCTTTGGTTCAGAAAAGACATCACAGACCTCTCATTTACATAAACAGAATAGGAAGCATCAAGATCCCGAACTAGGTAAAAACAACCTGTAGAGTTAGTAGCATCTATTCTCAAACTTTTAACAAAGCACTTTTTGATGAAATATCTATCTTTTTGGACAGTTGTGAAGGCCTTCAAATGGAAAAGGGATGTTCCAGTCATTCTCCCACCCTCCCCCATCAGAAATGGGGAGAACAAGCTTTACCTGCAAATAGTACTCTCCTTCAACAACATGAAGGCCATCAAAAACACCTAGCACATATGCTTCATCTTCTCGCTTCTCTGCCATCCTGTAGCTCAAATGACAACAAAGGTCTTTCTGGCAAACTGTATGATTTCCTTCAGGCATTGTGAGTTCAGTGAAGGTGAACTGATCAAAATAAATTATTCCGCTGAAATCATTTTCATCTGATGAAAACTGTTTGATGCTTGTGGCATACAAACTCCAGTTGACCGCAGCAGGGTAGGTGGGAGAAAGACGAGGATGTGAACTCAGCTCTGCAAACAGGAGGTGACCCTTTTCTGTTTCTGTATTGTAATGAAATGCCTTGGGTCCATTTGGTGCATAGATACCACTCCCTATGAGCGACAGGCAAGAGGGCGCTGTTAATCACAAGGGTATTATCCATTTCATATTATGCACTTTATCTTCACATATTAAATGTGCAGTATTTTATTCCATTCATTTTTGTCAGACCTATTTTTAAATCCGAATTAAAGCTTTTTACACACTATAAGCCTAGACCAATGCTCATTGATGTTAATGGGAACTAGGCCAAATTCATAGGTTTCACTGCATGTAAAGGACATATAATGGGAGATAAATAACATGCTAAAGTGAAATTGGTGTAAATATCAGTGAATGGGAAGGAAGGTGTAAATTACACTATTCTATGTTTCCTGATGGATTTGGTCATGTTTTATACCCTTTTGGATTTTGCAGAGTGGCTGGTAACACTATTAAGTAAATAAAACATTTTAGGAAAAACAAGTCCCCCCAAAAAAATCTCTTTTTTCTTTACACCTCCATGTAGGTCTTAAATGAGAGTTAATCATTTTTATTTCACAATACAAAAAACATTGCCATGGCCTCCTCGCCTTCAAACCTCCTCCTCCCCCTCTTCCCCTACCCCCGCACATCTGTGGAAAGAATAGGGCCATCTAACTTTAGCATAGCCATGATTCAGATCAGTGGAGATATCTGTGAAGATTCATAAACACAGGGCCCAAATAGCAAAACATTCAGTGCTAGTGGTCAGCTGAAATTATTCCCCCAGAGTAATGCTAAGCTAGAATTTGGACAAGCCTCATACATAAAAGAAAGGAACAAAAAGTCTATTCATTTGATTTACTAGTTACGCAAGTTTTAGATCTAGCCTTATAAGATGTAATAGCTTGTACCCTGTGCTATTGCTGTGGGACTTTGAATATATACACGGCTCTAATGTATCAATCCTATCAACAGTCTAAAAAAAATTCCAGGAACACAAGTCTATAAAGAAAGTTTTATAGTAGTTTATAAAGCAAACAGATATTGCATGAAAATCAGCCTTCACAACTCAGAGTATTGATCAGTACTAAGTCTACCAAGTGGAGATAAAAGTTTGTTACATCAGATTTACAAGCAATAGTTACATGCTGAAAACCAAGGTCCATGGTGAGTCTTAATTGAACCATAAAAATCAAGCTTTAGAAATAATTACTTAACAAGGAATTTAAGTTCTACAAGTGAACTTAAAAGCTCCCTTCATTCTTAATTTAACACTTTATTTCTGCCCTATCTATAAATATTGTTAATAAGACCCTGATCCTGCAAACATGTACACATACATAAATTTAAGTATATAAGTCGCTCTACTGGAGTCAGCTAGACTATTTACATGCTGAACTTGGAGCATGTGCATGAGAGTTTGCAGGATCAGGGCTTAAAACACCAAATCAGTTAATCTGATATTGTAAATTACCTGTCATATCTAAACTGGAGTTGCGTGTATTAGCGGAAAGAAAATTGACACCCATTCCCATAGCCCATGCAGAGTGGAACTGTATAGCAGACAGAAGAGGCAAAGTGTTCATCCAAGCTGTTGGGAACAGCACAGTATCCACGTGTAACTTGCTCACCAGGACCACAGCAGGATCATGGAAAAGTATATCCGCACAAGTGAAAATGCCGAACTTTCCAAAGGATGTATTGAAGGTGACAAACTCTGGCTCCTTAGGGTAATCAAATTGGGTTTCTGTCACAAAGAGGTTGTACTGTTTATGGTAAGGAGAAAAAGGAAATATATTAGGCCAAAATGACAAAGAGTTTTACCGACAACAAGCATTGGTGTGGACAGTGCTTCACTGGCCAAAGCCATGCTCCCAGCAACCAAGCTACTGCCTCTTGTTGAGGTTGGTTTTATTTTGTCAATGGGAGACAAAGCATGGTCATATGAGAGACCAAGGGTATTGCCTGGGGTTCAATGTTGGCATTCATTTTCTGCCCTTCATCTGTAAGTTTGTGAAAGAATAGTCAATTGTAGTTGCTCACTCAAGCAAGAGCTAAAATGGATTGGAAGATTTAAGGTTATTTTTTTTGACAAAATTGGAGTTAAAGCTGCCTCAGCTAGGATTCTGTAACCAGGGCTGGAAAAAGAGCACTTCTCTGCCTACAGACACTGAAAATGCCTTACTTTAAAATGGCAGGACACTCAAATCCTCTGCATGACACTAAATAACATTTCACAATAGTTTCAGTTATGGGATTTGGGGAAGAAATGCTAGATATGATTAAAAGGGAGTCAATTATTGCACTGAACTGTACAAAGTTTATTTCTTACCTTATGGTAGCGTGCAACCAATTTCCCTTCTGAATCAAAGACAACATCTGTATTATACTGATAATGACCATTGTTGGGGCACTTGGGATCACTGGAATTACATGGCTTCTTGTCCCCAATATTGGCAACCACAAAGATAGCGTTGCTCCTTGCGATGCAGCTGAGTCTTTCCTGCACTGGTGCAGGAGCAAATCTAATTATTAAAGAGAAAGCAAAAAAAAGATCTGAACTTAAGACTTTGGAGCAGAAAAACAATGTATTTAAGTTATTTTTTTCCCATTAGACTGCTGTGGTAAGATAATCAAATGAAAGCATAGAATAGACTCTTAGTATGTATAGAAACAGTGTTAAGAATAAAATCTGAAAGTCACTCTGGGTACGTCTACACTACAGCGCTAATTCGAACTAACTTAGTTCGAATTAGTTAATTCGAACTAAGCTAATTCAAATTAGCGCATCTAGAACTAAAAACTAGTTCGAATTAGCATTTCGCTAATTCGAACTAGCACGTCCACACTGATTGGACGCTGGGGAGCACTTAAGGACGGCTGAAACCGGTTCTGGCAGGGCATCAGGTCAGTAGTTGCTTTGTGTGGCTGCTGTCTGAGGCTCGTGCTTAAAGGGACCCCCCATGGACAGCCGATTCTCAGCTTTTCCGCTTGTTTGCCTACCTCACCGAGGGACAGCAAAGCATTTTGTCTGCGCCCGTCTGTGTCGGTGCTTCCCTTTGGGGACGCCGCCGCAGGTGGCAACATGGAGCCAGAGCTTACCCTGCACTTTCTGGTGCAGTTTCTGGACTTGCTACTGCAAGCCTGAAAGCAATGGCTGGAGGCTGCCTGGCACCACATGGTGCATGTCAGCCCCCTGCCTCTCCGCCTGGCCACCCTGGGGGCCATGGAGCAGCTGCAGCGGCGCCCGGGCGCCGGCGTGCCCTGCCGCATCTGGCGTCTGGACACCAGCAGCGACTGGTGGGACCGCATCATCCTGGAGCACTGGGGAAACCAACAGTGGACCCAGAACTTCAGGATGAAGAGGGACACCTTCCTGGAGCTCTGTGAGTGGCTTGCCCCTGCCCTGCGCAGAAGGGACACTCGCATGAGGCCCGCCATCCCCCTCCAGAAGCGTGTGGCCATCGCCCTCTGGAAGCTCTCCACGCCGGACAGCTACCGATCCGTCGGGAACCAGTTCGGCGTGGGGAGATCCACCGTCGGAGCAGTGCTCATACAGGTACGGCACTCGCCGGCCACGGGGCCAGGGGCAAGGGGGGCTGCAAGGAGGGGATGGGCCGCCCCAGGGAAAACGGGGGGATGGAGGGAAGGAGGCAAAAGTGCCCCGCACCGGAGGGGCCGGTCTTTCCTGGCCATACTACACGCCGCCCGGGGGGGGTTGCTTCCGGAAGTGGGGCACGGGGCACTGCCAGGGCACGAACACTCCCAGTCACCCGGGCGCCCCACTGATTTGCGCTTTACTGTGTTTCTCTGCAGGTGGTCAAGGCCATCAACCAGGTGCTGGTCCGCAGGGTGGTCCGCCTCGCTGACCCAGATGCCGTCATCCGGGGATTCGGCACCCTCAGCTTCCCAACTGCGGGGGGGCCATCGACGGGATGCACATCCCCATCCGTGCCCCGGAACACCAGGCGTCCCTTTACGTGAACCGCAAGGGGTACTTCTCCATCCTCCTGCAGGCTATGTGTGACCACCGGGGACAGTTCACGGACATTAATGTGGGCTGGTCCGGCAAGGCACACTATGCACGGGTGTACCAGAACTCCTCCGTGTGCCAGAGGCTTCAGGCCGGGACCTTCTTTCCCAACCACCGCATCGCAGTCGGGGACGTGGACATGCCCGTCTGCCTGGTGGGGAATGCGGCCTACCCCCTACAGCCCTGGCTGATGAAGCCCTACACGGGGCACCTCAACCCCTCCTGCCAGGCCTTCAGTGCGAGGCTGCCCAGGGCCCGCATCATGATTGAGGGGGCCTTCAGGTGACTGAAAGCCTGATTTAGATGCCTCCTCACCCATCTCGACCTCGCAGAGCACAACATCCCTCCCGTGGTGGCAGCATGTTATGTGCTGCACAATTTGTGCGAGCGAAAGGGGGAGGTTTTCCTGCCAGCCTGGATGGCTGAGGCTGACTGCATGGCTGGCAGCCCAGCGGGGGGCCGTCCGGATCTGGGAAGCCCTGCGGGAGAGCTTCCATGTGGAGGAGGAGGACTAAACTCTCCCTGCATGCCCCACTGGGGCCTTCTTCCACCCTCCCCCCCTTCCCCTTTCTTCTCCCTAACCCCCCATCCTAATGTCAAATAAAGACACCTGTTTTGGCAAAAAAAAATCTTTTTATTTTACATTACTGGGGTGGGGGGAGGGAGGAGAGAAGGTGGGAGAGGGGAGGGAGAAACCTGGGAAGAGGGAGCTGGAAGGGGGTGGAAGGCGAGGAAGGGAAGGGAAAGCTCAGTCTTGGGGGTCGGGCTGGCTCTCCTATCTTGCAGCACTGAGGGTGCGGGGGCATCGGGGGGTAATGAGTGTGGAGGGTGGGGCAGGAAGGATGGGGGGTGCGGAGGAAGTGGGAGAGGGAGCAGGGGCAGCAGAGCTGGGAGGAGGAGTGAGAGTGGGAGGAGGAGTGAGAGCTGCGGCAGGCGCAGGGGGGGGAGGAGGAGGG